TGTAAATACTACTAACCCCGATTTAACTATAATAAAATTCACCGACCAAAGAGGTCACCTTAAAGAGAAAAAAAAAATAAAAAATTTTGTTCAATATGGTAATTTATCAATAACGATAGCTAAGAAACTTAAATCAATCAGCATTCAAGTATCTTATATTTTATAAAAATTGTTTAATAAAACTTACTAACTTTAGAATACCAAATATCTATATATCTCACAGATCTTACTAGAGCAAAGACCTATAGAATATATGAGATATTTAGATGCAAAATTCCAACATCTTATACAGAGCGGTGGTTACTTGTAAAAATTGCGAAGATTGGCTTGTAATTAGAGGTAAAATTTTAAACATACAAAGCATCTCATTTACTATTATTTATTTGATAATTTTTATTATTATAGACACTACTCGCAGAACAACAATCTGTAAAAGGAAAAATGTGCAAAGAAGATGCAACTACTAAAATGGTCTTGGTTGCATATCCGATTGGATATCAATTCCGGATAACACTCCGAGAAAAGGAACAAAAGATGATTAAGCCCTTTACCTCTGACATAATTAGATGCTTGTATAAATTGTAGAAACACTCGATGCTACATATGATCTTTGTACAAATTTTATAAATATCAATGACCAATTACTTGTATCTCGCAATAGACTAGGTAATAGATATTGAAAGAATTAAGCGGGATGACAGAAACATTAAATAATAATAATTGTTGCTAAAGCTAATTTTCAGTTTAACTGATTGATTTTAGTCGATTGATTTCTTATAACAATTCACGCATAGGCTTCTTGATTAAAAGTCTCTACATAAAAAAGCATAGTTCTTATTTTCTTAATTTGTATTAAGTCTTGAATTGGAAAATTGTGCTATATACCAATCAAATTGCACATATACAGTAGAAACAAACTTCTGTACATGAAATAAATCACAAAACAGTGAAAACTTCTCTTTATTTTAGACTATAATTACAGACCAATTAATAAGTAGTTATGCGATGCAGTTGCACTAAACCAGGAACGGGTGAATAGAAGCCAATTTTAAAAATGTTGGATACTGTAATCCTGATACAGAATAATTATATCAAGTACCTAATTCAGATATTTAAATCGAGATCAGATATATGATTAAATACAGCACTAGGAAACGGGGTCCAGAGTCTAGATATTTAAATTTTTATTAGGTTGTCTGTTCTTTGTTTAAGATATTCTTTTTTATGTCAACTTTACGTACACTTCGAGTCTTACTTAAGTCAATGATGATGGCATGTGTTTAATTCAAATTTGCCTATAAAATATATAGTTTGATAAATACAGAAATAAAAAGTTATAAAGTCGCCAATAAGCGAGGTTGTGGTTGCATGATCCTTTTTAGTTTAGATAAAATATGTCAAAACAATTGCATAATAAAATGTGAAATCATATAAAACTTAGCTCTCAATTCTGTAATGATTGCTAAAGATTCTACGTATTAATTTAATAACAGTATTTTAGGTATTATCACTTATTTTCCAGAACAAAGTGAGAGCACTTTGTTTTTACTATGGACTATGATAAAAAATATCGCGATTATGTCTGTTCGCTTTCATGATGGAAAATAAGATTGTAGTTCCGCAGTTTACATGTAGATCTACGTATAACAGATAAATATTTGCCGTTTTTTACAGTATTTTCCTTTTATTATTTATTTGAGTTTTGTCCTTTATTTTTTCTTTTTACACCTGAAGCTAATGTTGCGGGCAAACCCCAAATATTTCGAATCCAAAATCCGGGCGATACTAATTTCGCCCAGCATACAAATTTCCGAAATATCCGTATTTGCACATATTATAGGCTCAATCCAAAAAGCCTGAAATTGTCCGAGACTATGATTGGTCATGTTCAAAAAACGTGATCCAATTGTGTGAAATTTTTTGGTTCATAATTTTGTAATTGATATGTTGATTATACAATCGCATATGCGGGCAGCTTCGCTGCTCAGTTTCAACTACTGTTAAACTTCCCAAAACCGATATACATAGTTGACAGATTTTGTATCGGTATTGAGAGGTCATCAGATTTGATAACATTATAAACGATTCTGTTTTCACAAGAACAGTATAATAACTATAGGTGCTCTCAAACTCATATTTTATGTTCACAAAAAAAAAACCCCCCCCCCCAAATAAATAAAAAACAACGCTCAACAATACTGTATTTGTTAGAAAATATACTAAGGATCAAAAGTAGTATGTATCAGCATAAAATTTGTGCTAAACATACGATTTATACCAATATTAATTAAATATAATATACATCAAAATCGCAAGTTTAATAAACATTATCATTTCAAATCTGCAGTACTTATGAGAACACAAATATTAATTTACTATTCTCAAAAAATTTTTAATAGTGAACAGTAAAAAATTTATACTGTGCACAAATTTATAATAGTGTTCTCGTGAGAACTCTGAGAACACTAATTTCAAACACTGGTCAAAGTCAAATCTAATAAAAATTAATCCGCCACGTCTGCTTCTGCTAAATGAATCTAATAACTAATGTTTTCAAATCTGATAACTCTCAATACCAACAAAATCTGTCCACCATGCATAACGGTTTTGGTTTAACAGCATTCAAATTCGTGAATATTTCACATTAACTACTTATGTATGTGTAAAGATCGTTTATTTAAGAATATGTATAAATAATTAGGATCACAATGTATCCATTAATGAATTGAACGTAGATACCGTTAAACTTGCAAAAACCTATATGCATGGTGGAAAGATTTTGAGGGTCATCAGATTTGAAAACATTATAAACTATTATATTCATATAGCGGAAGCAGACTTGGTGGATTAATTTCTTATTAGATATGACAGGTTATCGACTTTGACAGAGGAATTTAACAGTATTTAAAATATGCTATTCAAATTGATGGGTTTGTGTCAAATATCTCGAAGATCAAAATCCCTAAGAAAGATCATAACCCCGAAAGATTATGATCCTGAAACATCACAATCCTGAAAGACCATAATTCTGAAAGGTTGAAAAGTCATAATTCTTGAAGATAATTGTGATTTTTTAAGGCTATAACCTTCCGGGATTATGACTTTTCAGGATTATGGCCTTTCAGGATTATGGCCTTTCAGAACTATGATCTTTCAGGATTATGATCTTGATGTTTCAGGATCGTAATCTTTCAGGATTATGATCTTTCAGGATGTTATACTTTCGGGATTTTGATTTTTCAGGATTTAGTGTATCAGAATTTAATATCTTCAGGATTTTGATCTTCGGGGATATTGGCACAAACCCAAATTGGGATATAGATAGTCTGTTGAATAGGCAACACTTCACGCCACTCATTATTAATTTCGGATAATATCGGATTTTATCGGTGATTTTGGAATTCGGAATTTTTGTTTCGGATCACCTTATTAAATCCGAAATATTTCGGAAATGAAAAACACTTTTAAAGCTTTCCATCTATAGTAGGTATCGGTATAGTGTAAAGTACGAAATAGGATTAAAAAAAACAAACCTTATTAGTTGACGTCATTGTTGTAACATGAGGTTAAATGTCATAAAAGGTTATATACTTTAAAATAAAGAATAAGTTTTTATAATATGAAATATATTGTTCAAATTTTATCCCAAATTCAGACCAATGCCATACCCGCACATGTGTATTTACAGATATACTGTATTTAAGATATTATTGTTTTGGCTGGATAGTCGCAGAGGAGCAAAAACCCTCAATAGCGTAAAAGTTCATATACAAGACCTGAGTCTGTTTCATTCCACCAATTTTTAAACCCTTTAGTAGACCCGGGGTTTAGTACTCGCCCAGAAATTACATCATGAAAAGAAAAAATTTAAAGTGTATACACACTTTGTATCTATAATAGGTATTCTAACTATTTGAAAAAAACCGCATTTATAATTAATAAAGATTCTGTGGTTCGTACCCGGGTCTAATTCATGGTGGGTCTACTATTTTGGGGATCTTGTATATGAACTTTTACGGTATTCGAAGATATTGATCTTCTGGGCCAGCCCTAGCATCGCCCACAAAAAAATGTAGCTTACGTCATAGTTAAAGCTCCGAAACACAGTAACGTAATTTGCGTTATTGATGCTGAGTTTAAATTATGATGTAAGCTACATTTTTTTTAATATTTTTTTGTGGCTGTTAAATTTCATACGTACAAAACTAAAGCCCACATCTACTATAGATCATCAGATTATTATATTGAATTAGTAATCAATGCAATGGATATGAAATTCAATGAGGGGCATAATTTACGTTAACCAGTACTGTATTGTATAGAAAAATAGAGACCTTGAAAATAATACCATATGGTACGTATTATCTTTAAGATCTCTATAACAATACTGGTTTAACGTAAATTATGGATGCCCCTGATAATAAATTCATTAAATTTTCACCCGGGTCACCCGACGACTCGGGTGCATAGACAGACATTCGTCTGATTGGCTAATGTAAATCAACTGCCTGGGTAACTTATTTATACAATTTAAAGTACTTTTTGAGAACGTAACGTTTCACTAACAAAAAATCAAAAACCATTGTTTCGCATTTACGTATTAACTCCTTAATGGGTTCTGTAATAAATATTACGTTTATCCTACTTTACGCGTATCTTACTGTTTTCTAACTTTATGAATAAATTCTTTTGTGTAATTATTGGTTTGTAAGCTTCTTTAAGCGAAGCTTTCTTTCGGTTTAAAAATTATGTAATTTGATTGGTTTAATTACCACGGTAGATCAAAAATTATTCAATCATGTGAACCCGCTTTCAATCACTAATTTCGGCATTTACGTAATTTAAGATCAGATGACTACCAATAAATACTATATGCATATTTCAGAAATATATATTCGCTGGCAAATTAATGAATGATTGATTCAAAAATTGCCACTTAGATGCGGGTCCTCAAGCACTTTGAATGTATTGATAAATATTTTAATTGGGATTTTTTTTTTTTTTGAACTAGTCGACAAATTCTTGATCATATCTACCTTTTTTAGTATTAGCACCTATTCGTGTAGAATAAAAATTTATTTTATATCCGGAGCCTTCTTATTTTCTTGACAAGATTTATTGGTTGACAAGATCGGTCTTTTCCATAAATTCTCGTACTAAACACACCAAACATTTATTCAAACGAAAATTTAATAATGTTTAACGTACCGACATTGTAGTGAAATTATCTGTAGAACAAGTATTACATGTAATATATATATATATCTCTCTTTTATATACTGAATCATAAACATTAGCCGAGAATAAATTGGATCATTTTTTATCATGTGTCCAAGAATTTATTGAAAGCTTCTAATTTGACCCGGCCAGGTTATAAAAACAATTACAGCTATTTGGCAGAATCCGAATTGATAAGCTACCGGCATCGGCCGACAACAGAAACTAATCGATTCGGTTATCAATAATTTTTTCAATTGTCCAGGAATAATGAAAACAGTTGTAATTAATTTTGCATGGCCTTACTTTTTTTTTATTATGTATAATCCGGAATTATTAATTTTTATCCAATCAAATGATATCATTACCTAGTATGACAAATTAGTAAATTACAATCACTATCGCTATATAGTATTATTATTGTAAATACCTTTTATTTTTTAAACGTACATAAAAATATAAAGTTGGTCAACCCGGTCCGAGTCAACCTTGGTATTTATATAGTTAAAGCATGTGATTATGATCCATGTCTTTAAGAAAAAATTAGATCTATGCCAAATTAAAATTGCATTGAATATTAATAGTAAATATAATAACGATAATAATGGTAATGCGCTCCGGGCTAAATTGCTTTAATTCCTAGAGATAATATATTTATTATTATACGTAAGAAATGAAATTACTACGTACGAATTGAAGTTAAAATAGTAATTTAAAAATGTTATCCGAAATTTTTAGTTATTAAAATAGTTTTTATATAACCATAAAGAAAATGATTACGTTAGAAGCTATAGTACTACCTCAATTTGTGCATTCCCACCCTCATTATAATAAATCGAATTTAGTACGTATTAAACCTTAGTAGGGAGTGAAAGAATCCCCCTTCGGAATCATGCGTTTTTAGGGAGTATTTATAGCAACAGTGTTTTTTTTTAAAAAAATAAAGTTGTAGTAAGTACTATTGTACGTACGGATTTTCTCTCTAATAAAGTCATGAGTTCAGAAAACTGGTTTAATAGGCTGAAATTGTAACAGTAACAAATTTCAAAGCCCGAAATAATTTACCAAGCCAATTCAGCTTGTAGAATAAAAAATGGTTTTAACTGGTTGATGTGATTAATGAAAAATTCGGCATATTGTTATTAATTAGTGTAGTGTTTTATGCACAATTTATTTACTAACCTGGTAATTTATACACGGAGTCACCATGAACAATAGAACATTAAATATGAACATATGACTTTTTTGGCGTCATACGACAAAACGTGAGCAATGTATATATGCAGATGACCCTTTATTTGGGGCATTTTTGTTTGTACTTTACTAATTTGAATCATTCCCACGAAAGTCAGATCTGATGTATTACAATAAAGTTATTATTACACATGTTAGAGTGGCTTTTTTAACGGCCAATTTTTTTTTACTGGTATTACTGGGATATAGCTGCATAGTGTTTCACGTTCAGACGTTCAGATGACCTCCCCCGATTCATATATATACATTAAAAAAAAATTTTGATAACATGCAAGAAACTTTATTCAATTGTTCTTTTCGTGATGACAACTTACAAATATCTCAAGGATAAAAAAGTCGGAATTATTGGCTGCCCCTTTAGCGGCGGACAAGTGAGTTTTTCTTTTCAAGGGTTTAACTATTCAAACAAAAGTTTTATTCTCTATTAATAATTGCCATTTCGTTGCTCAAAAAGCCCAAGGAAGGTGTGGACGAAGGTCCGATAAAAATGATCGAATTTGGATTGATAGAACAACTTGAAGAAATGGGATGGGCAGTAGAATTTGATGGTCACCACAAATTCACCAGTCTTAAGCCATCTGAAGATCCTAACATAGGGAAAGCCAAAAGGCCTCGATATGTTTCGCGAGTAACTAAGGCAGTTGCTGAATCTGTAGAATCACATTTAAAAAAAGGACATTTGGCACTCACTCTTGGAGGTGATCATAGCCTTGCGCTCGGTACGGTTTCTGGTACCTTTGCCGCTTATCCTGATGCTTGCCTTGTCTGGATCGATGCCCATGCGGTATGAATGCGTCCTTGGTTTAATATTATATTTTTCTCGATTATTTTACGACAATTTTTGCCATCTTTTGTTCTAAATAACAATTAATAGGATATCAACACTCCTGAATCTACCGAATCTGGCAATCTACACGGTTGCCCTGTATCTTTCCTGCTAGATGTTAACGACATGCTGATAAGTCAGGAAATGACTGAATCCTTCTCATGGTTGAAGCCTCGACTCCGACCCGATAGAATTGTATATATTGGATTACGAGATGTTGATCCACCAGAAAAGGAAATTTTAAAGAAATATGGGATCAAGGCTTTTTCTATGACCCATGTAGATAAGTACGGCATTGGCAAGGTTGTGGAGATGGCCCTTGATGCAGTGAATCCTGACAGAGATCGTCCTATCCATCTTAGTTTTGATGTTGATGCGCTAGACCCGACGGTTGCCCCGAGTACTGGTAATATACGCGTAACATCTAATACTCCTATATTAATTAACGATGTAATTCGGATTGATTACTAATTCTCTTAATTCCTTTGATTATAGGTACTCCTGTGCGTGGTGGATTGACCTTTAGAGAAGGTCATTACATTTGTGAATCAATTAATGAAACTGGTCTTCTTGTCTCTGTTGACATCATGGTACGTAATTTATGATTTCAGTGTTTATTTAAATATATTTGATGCTTATTTTATATTTTACAGGAAGTAAATCCGACCCTTGAAGATGAAGTAAGTGTGTTTGAAACCGTAACGGTCGGTTGCTCATTGGTTCGCTGTTGTCTTGGTAAATATTCTATTCTTTTGTTCCTGATTTTTATCCGCGATTATCATGTTTGGTGTTAAAAAAAATCATATTTCATATTATAGGCGAAACTTTATTATGAGACTATTAGATGCGACGCGGTGAAAAGAACAATTATAATTTTGTCAAAATGCCCACACCAATAAATTACGAATTAGAATCGATTATCGTCATTATTTTCACGTTAACACGGACACCCAGTGGGCATCCAAAATTAATGTAACTTTGATAAATAGTTCACGTAATATGACTTTTAGAATCATTATGTCTATAAACAGAATATTCTAGAAATTTACCAATTTATAATAATTTTTAAATGGTTTATTATATAATTCGTAATTAGCAGGTTTAGTAAAAGTTTATATAATAGATTATTTAATATATATATTTTTGATTCGAATCAAATTTATTATTAAAACATTGCATATGATTAGAATTTTATATATATACCGATAAATAACTTTTTTAAATATATATATATATATATTATTAAGTTTAATAATTTAAGAATTTAACCAATTTTAATAAATATTTTAATGTTATATATACAAACTTTACTAAACATCGTAGTTAAAATTAATGTCACGGCTGAAACTGGATCCTCGATTTAAATATAACTTCGCCAAAATCTACTTATACTTTTTTATTATAAAAACTAATTTAAGAAAAAAAAAACATGCAATATACGTATAAAAACTTTTAATATAAGTATATTTAAAGATGTATCTTTGTCAAGTTGATTTTTTTTTTTTTAACCAATTATTTTAAGATAGTATTAGTAAAAATTCGGTATATAAGTCATATGAAAAATTTCGGGAGAGTAACACAGATTCGATACATGCATATATCACAAAGATCGTGAAAATGTTTTTTATCTGTAAAATTTTATATCGATAACTAACATCTATGCTTCTTAAAAAATGGTATTAGCCTTTGCGAGAACTTTTAGATTTCCTCTGACTGCTCAAAATAAATTTCGGGCCTTATATGTACGCCATGCAACTAATCTTAACTCCACTACTAAGACGTTGTCTAAACTCGCAGGTATTTAATTCTTAATTCGGTTTAACCACTTTATTAATTTGTTAAGTTCTTCAATATCTATTTTAATTAAAGTTTATTACCTAATGTTTGACATCACACTAATTTTAAAGAATATCGAAAGCCGATTATTTACAATGCTCTCGTGATCAAAGAATTGGCGAAAGAAGTATACATTAAGGAAGGTCTTCGACCACCAACAACGTCAGAAATCTCGCAAGCTTGGTCAAACTTAAGATCTATCGGATTAAATGATCTCAAAGGAATAGGGCTTAGAGATGCTGCTAGAGCTGTTATACGATCCGTGGAAGTTATTGGATTTTTTGCAATTGGAGAAATGATTGGAAGGGGAAGTCTAATTGGATATAAATATTGAATATTTAAAATATGATCTTTCTATTGAACAATATCAATGTGATTTATTCAAATCACCAGAGATTAAATTGATTGAATATTAATAATAGAAATAAAATAAAATTTTGGGCAAGCGTGTTAGCTATATTATTAAATATATTATTAAATATATTATTAAATACGTTACTATTTGCCTAAACCTTATGAAAAATATGTTTTATATTGTATAATTGGCATTATAAGTCAAATAGACTAGTAATTTAATTTGTAATTACATAAAATATATTTTCTAATTATCGTCTTCCGCAATAATTTTTATTTATTCTTACTTGAACATTTTACAAGACTAAAATAAAACCTTTAAACAAATTAAGAACTTAAAGGTTTTATTATACTAAAAGACTATAAAATAACATCCATTTTATATACTGTTTATTTTTATACTAATTATAGTTATTTTAAACTGAATTCTTTTAATATTAAAGCCATCACCGATTTACTCCTATTTATTCTTTAAAAGATGATTTATACTGCAGGTTATATGATTTATTGAAAAATTATGTGCGTACGCATATACAAATATAATCGCAAATAGTCAAGAAATTTCATAAGAAATTTCATTTCATTAGATACATATCGAAGGAATGCTCGGTTTGTAGAGGTTTACCAGTCCCAGGACTCGGAAACTCCAAAGAAATTTTGGCATTATACTTGATAAATATAAATAAAATTAAAATTAGAAATGTATTATAAATAATCAGCAAACTACACGAGTTAGATCTTACTTGGGCAAGTTCAGATGGAACTAATTTTAATTTTTCAATTATTTGTGTTTGTGATGATAATGTGAACAAGACGTCAGATGCTGATGATCCAATACACGATTTTTGCACAAATATCGATAAAGGAGATGAAGGTTTTAACCTACCAAATTATTTATAAATTGCATCAAAACAATAATTATTATTTATTTTATATTATGCAATATATAGTATATATATTGTAAATTCTCATACCTAGAATTAGAATTATTGGAATTACTAATTCCTCGAACTACAGATTCCACACATTCAATTTTAACAATTGCATCCTGTATAAAATAAATTTTAAGAACTAAATCATAATCATAAAATTGATTTATATATATTCATTTAACGTTACTTTGTCTTCACCTTTCTTTCGAAAGGTCAAATTACAAGATGCTTTTTGTGCGGGAAATTGACTCGTATTGGATATAATGATAGTTAATAGATTAGGATTGGAATCTTTCTCTGTTTCTGTTTCTGTTGGCATAATCTTAGTTAATTATATTAGTTATAATAATTATGAAATATTTCTACTTACTAATGTGAATATTTGACAATAGGAACTGCTCCATCATCGAGTTCATCGCTTGTATCATTTCAAACGATTGTTTTAAATTTATTGCCAAGGTCTTGTTGAAAAGGATTCAAATTAATATGACCATATATAAATTACTCAAACTTGTCCAGTACTTACTGAGTATATGGTGCCAAAGGAATTCTGTACACCTTCAATACTACTTCGTAAGCTGTTGACCATCGCATCCCTTAATTTAGAGAAGGTGAAACAAAAACGCGTAAGAATAAGAAAAACGCGTAATCATATATTACTGTTAATATACATACATTTCACCATTTTCGTTAGTGTTATCATCGTGCTCTTTAGTAGAACACTCAGCAGTAGCTTGGGATAACTTATTTGAATCAGAAGACATAATTTTACGCGCTTATACTGTTATACTGAATTGAAAACGTGTTAGATAATTTAATTTCATGTGATTGACAAATCATGAAAATTTTTTGGGGGACATTTTTTAGGGTTAGTGTTAGGGTTAGATCTGCGACATTGAGTGAGAATACGTTCAATTTAAATTTTTTCGGGCGTTATTTCGAATCTTGGCCAGAATTAAGCTTAATTCGGGCCGAAAATTGTAATTTCACCCTGCGCGTTATTTCGAGATTTTATGATATGTAAATTTGGTATGCTTCTAGACATTCCCTATAGAGCATGCTCAAAACCTTAGTGTCTTGTTTCCTACTGTTTAGCCTGCAACTAGAGATGGGCACCATGCGCATGAATGCATGCATGTATGCATGCGTGCATGCGCATGATTTATGCAATTTTATGCTTTATGCTAATATGCCCATACAAGATTAATATAACTATCTCTTTTATAGATTAAATATTTTCTTTAACTTTGAACAAAGATATCTCAGCAACTACAAAACTAAATTTGATAAACTTTTTTTTATTTGAATTTTATGAATCCATAGAATTCAAATAAAAAAAGATTTATTAAAATTGACTTAGTAGTTGCTAAGATATCTTTGTTTAAAGTTTTAAAAAAAAATTTAAAACGTCTATCAAAATAAGCTATACAGAATTTTTTTTAAGCTTTGAGCAATGATATCTCAGTATCAACAAGGTCAAATTCAATGAACTTTTTTTTATTTAAATTCTATGAATATATAGAATTCAAATAAAAAAGATTTATAGAATTTGACTAAGTAGTTACTAAGATATCTTTATTCAAAGTTTTAAAAAATTTTCAAACCATCAAAAGCTACACCAAAATTTTTTTTAAACTTTGAGAGAAGATATCCTGGCAACCATAAAGCCAAATTTAATAATTTTTTTATTTTAATTTTATGAATTAATAGAATTTAAATAAAAAAAAGTTTATTAAATTTGGCATTATAGTTGCTAGGATATTTTCTCTCAAAAGTTAAAAAGAATTTTGACACAGCTTTTGTTTTGATATGTTTTGAAATTTTTTAAAATTGAGTAAAGATATTTTAGCAACTACTTAGTCAAACTAGATGAATTTTTTATTTAAATTCTATGAATTTATAGAATTTAAATAAAAAAAAGTTCATTAAATTTGACCTTGTAGTTGCTGAGATATCATTACTTAAAGTTTAAAGAAAATTCTGTATAGCTTATTTTGATAGATGCTTTAATTTTTTTTAAAGACCTTAATCAAAGATATCTTAGCAACTACTAAGTTAATTTTAATAAATCTTTTTTTAGTCAAATTCTATGAATTCATAAAATTCAAATAAAAAAAAGTTTATTAAATTTGGCTTTGTAGTTGCTAAGATATTTTTGGTTAAACTTGGAAAAAATTTTGTAAAGCCTATTTTGTAAACAATTTAAAATTTTTTTTAAAACTTTAAGCAAAGATATTTCAGCAACTACTAAACTAAACTTGATGAACTTTTTTTATTTGAATTCTATGAATATGTAGAATTTAAATAAAAAAAGTTTATTAAATTTGGTTTTGTAGTTGTTGAGATATCTTTATTTAAAATTTAAAAAAAAAAATTAATTTGTAAGTATAGTATATACAGTATATAATATGCATGCAGCATACCATGCACATGCATGGTATAGAAAACACTATTTTGCCATCTCTACCTACAATACTAATTGTAATATCTCAATTTTAAAATGCTATTAATATAAATACTGTATATTTTGAAAAATATTCTTTTTTAAAGTTTACTAATACAAAGTGTAGCAAGAACTTATATTTAAGTGAAAACAGAATTTAAGTTAATTCAAAATTTTTAAAATTAAAGTTAGAATTTTTAATGTAATTATAGTTGGATCTTTCTAAGTATACAGATTATATAAATTTACTCTAAATGCTCTATATATTTTGCTTTTCATAAATATACATTCTCTTTAAGTGCACACTTTTCAATTTTTTTCTATAGTTCTGAAGAGTACATTTAGAGGGTTTCGATTCTATTTTTTTTTTTTTGTCAATTTAGCAACCTTGCTAATGCTTTATTAAGTATAAATATTTGAACTTATGAAAAAAATACATTTTTAATTAAGTTATCTAAAGTCTATCTAAGTTATAAGTATTAGCTAACTTAGTTCTTTGCAATACCAAAGTATCTAAATTACTCATGTTCAATTTGCTATAGTAAGGTTTATCTTCATATCAAAAACTCTGCAAATAAATTTTTTGATATATTACTAAATGGTATTTATAGCCTATCAAGATCATCTTCTTTTCTAACCTTTTTCTTCTAGCTTTCCAAACAGAAGAATTCATAGTCTCCAACTAACTTATAAAAAAAAAAGCTAATACTAAACAAAAAATAAAAGAGAAAAAGAAAAAAATTGCCTAAACAATAAGAAAATGAATAAAAAAACAAATAAATAAAAAAGAAAAAAAAGAAAAAAATTAATCTATGAAAATACTATTATAGCCTATGCTAGATATAGTTGTAAAAATTATATATCTAATTAAATTTAAATAAATCTAATTTTTAAATTTAAAAATCTTGTATATCTTTGTTATAAAGCTAAACCTTATTATTAAAATTTTTTTTCAACTTTAATATCCAATCTGGGTCAGTTTATTAACCAAAGCATTGATTGGTTCATCATATAGTATAGAATTATTATTGCCAAAACAATTTCATGTTTATGTTCTACTTCATCTATCTAAAAATAGAAGATATAAACAATGCTGATCTTTTGGAGAGGATAAGCTAAATCATCTACTTTTTGTCAAAAATTTTGGTAAGGTTAGCTATATACAAGATAGAGAAAAAACAACTAGGGTTCCGAAGTTTGATTTGATAAGTTTGAGTTTGAGTTTGATTTGAAATCAAACCAAAACTCAAACATTAAATTTTTGCAAATTTTCAAACTCAAATCAAACTCAAACTTAATTGTAAGTTTGATTTGGGTTT